TTGCAGCAAACCTCTGGTACTACATATTATTTAAAACATTTGGTTTCTAAGTAATGGATCATCTGACTCTGGAAATACTTTTCTTCAGCTCTTACTTCTCTAGAGTAATTTTGTAACTGTATAACTACTGGAAGAATATAGGAAAACAGTTACATGGAATGATGTGGAGTGCAGCAAGTCTCCAAACTCAACTCCCTGCCCAAAACAGGCTTATCTGTGGGATCAGACATGGTTGCTCAGGCTTTGTGTCACTGGAGTTTGAAGTCCATGAAGGACAGAAATGTTACAGCCTCTCCAGGTAGCCTATCCCAATGTTCAGTCACCCTGCCATGGAAATTCCTGAGGCCCGCTTTCTGTAGCTGAAAACTCTCCCGCTTCTACTTGTGGCAACTATTGTCAAAAAATCCTAGCTGCCAGTAACCTCCTTGTAGGCAGAGCAGACACCTTGAAGCTGCCTTCCTCCAGTCCAGCTTGCTGCCTTTCCTCACATTGTCTGCTGAAGTCTTACTCATGTACAACCAGGCCAGCATCATCTACTGCTCTCACCTCATCCACAAACCAAATTATTTTGTCACAGATGATCATCCATCAGATCAGGCATCACTTAGCCGGTCTCCATCTTCTGCCTTGTGTGCTTGTACTTGCCTAAGGTAGGTTGACAGCTCACTTGAAAGCCACCAAGTACCTCATCATCTGTCACTAAATCACTGCCCTCCCTCGAGCAGCTGGTTCAAATATGCTTTTTTAACCTCCACTGGTTGTAAAGCAACTGGTGACTGTAGCATCTCAGAAAGCTATGTGAAGTGTTCTGATATTTTCATTGTCATTCTGTTCTGCTGTGACTGTCACTTTCTTTTCAGTATTTTCTGCTCTTAGCATACTTGCAGATTTTTGAGAGACTGTTCCAGTCTGTGTCATTCATCTTAGGATGCTGAAAGTAGCCTTGTGGAGGATTTTTCCACATTTAAAAAAAATTTCCATGTGTGACTATTGTAATGCTAGAAAGATGCTCAGTTGATGGAAATACGTTTGTGTTCTCATAGTTTCATCCAAATTAACTGAAGTACATGAATTACATTGCTGCATTGCCAGTCTGGCAGATTTAGAATTTTCTGAAGATTCTTCAGGCTACTAGTAAAAATTGAACTTTCACAAGTCAAGTCCCCTATATTGACTGCAAATTTTGATACATTAATAGGTAAAAATAATGTGATTTCAAAAACACAACCCTAGCAGAATGTAGTTTGCCAAATAAAAGGGAGATGTGCAAACGCAATTATTCTTAAGAGGGTTTGAGACACTGAATTTACTAAAAAATTAAGCTAAAAAAATAGCTACCAAATTGAGAAACAGAGTCACCCCTCACATGCTAGATCTATTTCATCTGAAAACAGTTTCGCTGAAAACTTCACTTTGTACCTTGGCCAGTAATGTTTAGAAGGTTTCTTAGTGTTTCTTTCATATGTGCTGTCTCTTCACAGATCATGGTAGGAGGAGCAAAAAAGGTAAGACACTCTGAACCAAGGAGGCAAGGGTGGGAGAAGTCTTATGTTTTAAGGAAGGAGAAAGCCTATGAGACTGGAGATACTGAGACTAGAGAACAGACCTCTTTCTGTGTGCCCCTTGTTACACAAGCAGGCAAGAAATGTTTAAAAACCAGCAAAGGAAAATGCTTTGAGTAATTGCTGTGAAAACAATTGGCCCTTCTGATTTTAGTCATTTGAAGAGAACAAGAGCTCTCCAAAGGTCTGTTGCACTAGGGAGCAGGGACATTATCTTTGTGAAATGTTTTGTTTGCAAGGTTTCCTGGCATAGCAGCTATTTGAATTAAATTTAGTGGGGAGGGAGGAAAGAAGAGAGGAAGAGAAGAGTATGTGTGGTACTTGTATTTTGCCTTCTATTAAAAGTGCTTGAAGAAAATACAAATTAATTGTGTAGTCTGGATATTTATTTTTTCATTGCTCTCTCATTGCTGTCTCATTGTTGAGGATTTATATATTTCACAGACAGCAGCTGCTCAGTGCTACAGTGCCACAGGCACAGCAGAAAGAATAAATGCTTTTGGTCTCACCTGGGTTTGCTCTGCTGTAAAAGCAAATCCCCTCTGCTCTTGGGGGCCCCTGAGGCAACAGGAATTGAATGTGCCAGGATGCAAGGCTTAAAAGGCTTATCATACATTAACTCTTAAGAGCACTTCCTTGTTCTGCGTGCCCAGCAAAGACATGCCGTGTGCATAACATCACTGCCTGGTATGTTGTTAAAAACATGTTTGCTATTTTTGCAGAACTTGAAAAGGCTTAAAGGGTGGCTTGGACTAACTCGAAATTAAGGTCAACAGCACTTTAACTCCTTCTTGTAGGCATTACAAAATTAAAAATTATCCTAATAATCTAGTGGTTCAAAGGGGTAATCAAGATTTAACTGCCTGGTGAAAGCAACATGTTTAATTAACAACAGTCTGTTGTTAAATGAGATCATGAGCATTATCTACAGACATGTCATGTGTTCTCTTCCAGTACATTTTCCATACTAACATGATTTCACATCAACACTAGGGAATCTCTATTTCCAGCACCACTAAAGCAACTCACACAGCTCTTAGCACAATATACTAAAGACTCACTCATAACTGTTGATGCTAAGCCACAATTTTCACTTTCCCTATCACACACACATGAAGCCTTAGACCATTTCTGCTCCCCACCCCAGGCAAGTTGTGTGGAAGGAAAAGTGATAAAGGGTTTTGATTGTAGACAAACAAAATTCATCAAAGATATTGATGATTTTATTAATTAAACATTTTCTGCTAAAATATTCCTGAATTATTACTTGTTTAAATGAGAGAATTAAGGGGGTCATGTCCCTGAAATATTAAAAAAAAAAAAATAAGATATGCAAGATCAATGTTTTCATGGTACAGAATAAAACACCATTAGTTGTATGTGACTAGATCTCCCAGAAGGCTACATTTCCAAGTCCAAAGGAAATACTTTATTTAAAATGTAGCTAGATCTCTATCTGTCAGAAAAAGTTCCAGCATCCTGTCTTGGAGTAGGTAACATGGATCTTAAAAAATGGCATCTGGTCAAGGCCCATTCTGACATGTTCTTAGCAGAATTTTTTCATCTTTTACACAACTTAGTTGTTTTCTTAGGAAACTTTGAAAACTTCAGTTTTTTTGAGGAAAATAATATAACAATATATTTTTAATTATACTATTTTACTTCAAGGATTTGGTTGTGTTCTTAACTTTTTCTTGTCAAGCTCTATTATAGATACAAAAAACAGACAAAATAAAACAAATACTGGCAGATCCTAGAAGAATGCAAACATGTTTAAGACTCCAACAACAAAGCTCAGTTTGAGAGGCAGAGTATTTAAATGAGAGCACTGAGCAGAATATTTCCCACTTGGAAGATACTGTATATAAGGCACGGCAAATAAGGCAGACAATGGTGTAGAACTGTCAGATCCAGAAAAGGGAAGGGGTGAAAAAAAAAAGTGAAAAAAAAAAAGGATGGGGCAGGGGAGGAATGGGGAACCAAGAAGGAAAAAAAATACAAACTATTATCTGTATGCAAAGAATGTATGCAAAACCAACTCATTTCTGCTATAAAACAGAAGAATTAGGGTACATATTCCAGAAAGATACAGTAACATCTTGAAATAATGTATAAGATCAGATTAGTTAGATTCTTAAAAACGGACTAAGTATATCTGTTAAAAGTCTGCTGGCTTGATTTCAAATAAAAAAAGAGATAAAAGCACAAGTTTTCGGGATCAAGTCACCCTTCAATCCTAAAGGCTTTCAGCCTGGTGATCCTAAGTGTTACTTTGCTACCACGCTTACCATCAGTAAACCAAGTAAATTGCTTATGTGTTAAGTGGGGACTGAATTTGTGCAGTGACTTCAATACACTGAGCTCTTTTAGAAAGCTCTGCTACAGAAAATGGGGACCCTTAACATGGCCCTTCAGCAACGATTTCAGTGAGTCTTTCCAGTTGCCCTCCTAGCTGCCCACAGGATGACAGGATCATGGTGTGAAGGCTGGTGTAAGCTGGGTATGTGACTTGGACATTTAAATTCTAACAGAGCAAGGTGACTGTTCTGTAGTCAGTTTTAGAGAGGGTTTTAGAGGGTTTTTTTTGTAGTTCACTTTTCCCAGAAGAAATTCTTCCTTATGGCAAACGTGTCCTAAACAGCTACGCTCTCTTACTTTTCCTTCTGTACAGAAGATACGGTGAGCATACACAGGATCTCTCTTGACTCCATCTAAACAGTAATATTTGAAGCATCTAACCAAGCAGCATCTTTGCTACCCATAGTAGTAGTACTATTAACAACAGAAATACAGAGTATTACACAAATTACTAAGTACAAAGCAGGCTGAAAGAGGTAGGGTAAAGATTGACAAGTAGATTTCAAGCAACTGAGTCAGCAGTCCATCTGCTGCCCAGAATATTTTATTATTTACCATCACTTTTGCAGTCTTTTTGAAGAGCAGTTCTGGTATCATAGAAGACACTCATGTATATTGTCTTTAGGTGCAAATTCTTAAATAAAAATTACTTCCTGGAAATTCCCAGTCCTATACACAGTGCAGTGAAGTTTGTTGTAGCTTGTGCAAAGGTGGTAAAGCACGACTGTCTACAAGAGCATTCTTGTGGAAAAGTCAGAGGGTGGGGAAGACGGGGTATTTCCCTCAGCTGCCTTCGGGGTATTTCCCTCAACTGCCTTCGCTACAGGCTTTAATTACCTGCTAATGTGAAAGTCTCTGAAGACTCCCTGAACAACTTTCAGGTGGTTCTGAAGGCAGAGGTTGGCAAAAACAGGCTCCACTTCAGATTAAACCGCTTGCCTCCCTAGCTGTTTGCATGACCAACAGTAAGCAGTCCTTTATGTTAATGTCTAAATAGGAGACACTTCAGAACAAAGTGCCTTTGTGAGAAACACATGCTGCAATTACAGCAACAGTTCACAAATAAAAACATTTAGTCTGTTTTGCCATTTGCTAATACTTTTAATTAATTCCACTGCCAGCTCAGGAATGAGACAGCTGGCAGTAACTATGCATGACAAACCTGAATTGATACAGAAGGAAGTAGTATCATCCCTCACAGTGTCTTCTTCTTTCATCCCCAAGCTTCTGTGTCATACTGCAGCAGCTAAACTAAGCAATGGCCTAACTAGAATTAAAATCAGATGAACAAGTTAAACCTAAACAAGCACAGACACATGAGTAACTGATCATATGGAGGTAAGGAAGGGCTTACATAAGCTGCAGCTTCAGTCATGTATGGAAAACTATAGCAAAAATATCTTCGGCCTTCATCATTAAGAATTATTTGTGATATTTTCAGAGGGGACTTGAATTGTAGGAAGAGACAGTATCATTTAAAAAAATAATTTTATTTTTTCCATACTTAGTGTTAAAATAATCTGGAATGTAAAGTGAGCTTGACAGAAAGCAGAAACCAGCAGTTCCATCAGTAATATTTAGACACTACTGCAGTTCTTTAAGTTTTGAGAAACTTCAGCTATTTTGGATACAAAAACAAAACTCCCCATACAGTAAGAAATGTAAAATTACAAGTCTAAATCTCATCAGGCACAAAACTGAAGTTTCCCTGAGAAGATATAATTACAAACTAGTGTATAAACTTTATGACACAATATCAGGGTGCTTTAAGAATACAAAATATTTGAATTCTTTAATACTCCATGCTGAAGACAAAAATTTCAGGAGGATTAAGAATCACATGTAACATAACTGCAGCAAACAGATCTATGTAAAATGGTAACAGCTGGTTTTGTATATCCCCTTTTGCATAGCTTTTAGATAAATTCTAGTGTATTCCTGAGATCTTTTAGTATTCAGTATGAAGTGCAGTCCAGCTGCTTTGTACCCCACCCCTTCATCTTTCTCTTCCAGCTAGCATTACATTCATGGGAAAAAAAAATTGAGAATAATCATGAGCAACATGCATTTTCTGTGCCTTAAAATAGTTTGGCCAAAGGAAAGTCCATTATACCTTCTAGACAATAAATACTCCAAATAGTTGGCTTTCCAAAAACTGCTGTCTGATTTTGTACCTAAAGCTCCAAACCTCAGTGTGCCACAAGACATACTCAAGATATGTCTTTTCTGCCCTTTGTCCGTGGACAAGGCAGGGCAAGAGCACCACCACACCAACATGGTGGGGGTCATTATACCCATTATCAGCATCACCACAATTGCTGCAACATGTTAAAGTATGTTGCAGTAGAATATTTGTAGCTATGTTTCCTGACAGGAGCAGACATTTCAGTTCTTTTGCAGATACAGAGCTTTGTGCCGCAAATACTCTTCCAAGCATTTCACTGCAAAAGGGTCAACATCAGTGTCGAACTTATTAGCAAATAAGTGGTGGTTTCGTAGGATCCAGTTCAAGTCTCCTACTCCAAAAACACAGACAGAGCGAATGTGAACTCCACTGCATGGTGGGTAGGGTGCACCTTTGGACACATCACCTTCAAAGTATTGCCATTTGACAAACCTGGCCAGTGCATTCATGTCAGAAACATCATACTTGTCACTGGAAGAAAATGCACCTGGGACTTCAGGGATTCTCTGAATTGTTGCCCACAGGTACTCATCTGGGCTGTAAGTATCTTTCGCCCACTCAATGAACTTTAGTATTTTGCTGTTTTCTAGTACATATTCTACAAAGTTCCTGCTAACTACAAAATAGGCACTGCCAGAAAAAACTGGAGTACTGAGAGGTGGTAGTTGTTTGTCTATGCCTGTGTTCTTTATTTTACCATCAATAATCTCATGGTGTTTTTTCCACCTTACTTCTTTATAAACAGGCATTTTTTCTGTTTCCAAGCTGTTTTCACCTTTAAGGGCTTTTAATTTCTCTACTATTTCCTGGTTGGTCTTTATAGGAAAGTCCATACCACATAGGTTTATTAGGTATTTCCAGTTTGAACTTCTTCTGTAGAGATCTTTCATGCAGTTAATGTCTGCTTGCACTCTGCTCCATGAAGCATATACCACACTCTCTAACTGGCTGGAAATAAAGACATTATCAAAACATGAGACTATTCCCTTCACAGCAGCAAAAAATGATTCTGGAGACTTTTTGTCTACATGAATGCAATAAAAATTCTGTGGAACATAGATTGATCTTAGAAGTCTATCAAGCATCTCAATTTTGTGATAAACCACAATTGAGTAAGCAATTGGAAATTCTGCTTCTTCGTTGCTGAGAGGTTCCATAATGTATTTCCTAGTCTTGGTGAAGGAGGCACAGTCTGCAGTCATGTTAATATAATCATCTGTTGTTAGTCTGGGGCGTTTCTTAAATGACACTGATAATGCCTCAAGCTGTACCTTTTGTATTTCTTCTATATCCCCCTCAATAATCTTGGTGCAGTTAACATTGCTAATAGGATCTTCTTTTGTTAGCTCCAGATGTCTCCGATTTAGGAAGTCTTCTTTCTGGTTAACTTTCAAAACTGAAATTATTACTAAAATGAGAGTTAGACCCAAGAAAAGCCTGAAGCGCGAGTTGTGGCAAAACCGTAATTTCCTCTTCAGCATTTCAAATATCAGGTAGCTTTGCAGGGCTAAAAAAAAAAAATATCCTCTTCTCTATTCATAAGAGCTTCAACAACTTCCAAAAAAAAATTTGCTTCTCAGGATTTTGGCAATTTTTTCAGGGAAATGGAAGGAAAAATCCTAAAACAAAATGGAATATGATAATCATTCTTAGACTAAAAGGTTTATTTAAAAAATTAGTGATTAATAATTACATTCTTATTTAGTGACAGTAAAAAGCTGAATAGTTCAGCCAAAAATACTCTGTTGAAAATTAAAAATTAACAAATAATTTTTTAAGAGAAAAACACTGGGAGAAGCATTGTTTTCATGAAACTTCCACAGTACTAACCCTACAAATCAAAGTTCAGTAAGAAAATAGAGGTGATTTAGTTGCATCTAAAACAAAATTGAAGTCAGATACACTACTGAGAGGCAAGCATTTCTTGTTAATTCATGGTTCAGAGCCTGGAAAGAATGTTTAATACCCACTTCAGGGTTGACATAGATTTCTTTATCATTAAACTTACCACTCACTTCCTGGATGGCAGTCATGCTTTAGTTCTCACTGGCGAAGAAGTCCCTGCAGCCTTTCAAGATCTTTATATGAGACAGTCTCTTCAACATCCTTCATATGAGTTTAGAAATACCACTAGGGAAGAGCTGATGAGAAGGGAAAGGAAAAAAGTTATTACAACAGGGCATCTCAATTTTCAGAGTTGTGAGAAAAACCTGTTACTGATTTGCTGAAATAGGTTTATAAAGTAAGAGGCAATACTTACGACCTGTATCTCAAGTTGATTTGTATCAGGTCACTGCAATTGCACTAATCTAGTGCACAGCAGTGTTGCATTACCATCATTTAAACACTTCTTATTCAGCAATTACTTTTATGTGGAGGCATGCTGCAATGTTGGATTGCAACAAGATTTCTAGCCAATTTTATTTTCTACTTTACTGCACAAGCACTTGATAATTTTTGTTTGTTAGTTCTGTTACTCTTTAAGCACCTTTTTTTCTGTTTTGTGAACAGAATCACTCCAGTTGTGCAGCAGCTACAGCTGTAGCTGTTGAGAATACTAGAACTGTATTGCAGAACTGTGTGTCTTTTTTTTTTTTTTTTTAAGTACTATGTCATGCAGGTAAATTGATCAAGAACAGGATATCCTTAAATAACCTACACTGCTACTCACATGCTACTTCTAATCACAAATTCACTGCCTAATAATGTAGTGCAGGTTTGAATTTCAAACCAGCCTCTAATTCCAAAAGCCTACACAGTTTACAGAGAATGTCTTACAAAACGTGAATATTTAAGCTTATGAAATATAAAGTATTTGAGAGATACAAGGCTTCTTACATTTTTACTACTTCCAAGAAAAAAGACAGTGCCTCAGAATAACTTTTTAACTGGCAATAAACTCTGTTCAAGAAAAGTAAGTGTGTATTGTGTCCACTGCTGTGTTTTGCTATAGGTTGTTCAGCATAAGAATTTTCTTTTTCCCCATATTCTCTTTAAGCTACCCCAGGACCATTTTAAGTTTTAATTCCTAAACTGTGGCTCTTAAGCTGCTACTTGCTGATCTTAGTACAGGTGCATATAGGAAATGAGGCATGGCATCACAGAGTTGTTCCTTAGTAATGCTGCTTGGGATGCACTACACGCTGGGTCCACCACTATGCCCATGGCACTGCAAACTGACTGAGGGAAGCAGCAGGTGGGAGGAAGGTATGGAACACTGCACAAATGCCTAGCACAGCTATGAGAATCAGGAACTATTATAGTCAAATATATTGTATTTCAAGCCAACAGCAGACAGAGACCACAAAGTAGACACAAATTTGTCACTAGCAGCATGATATAAACATTTTATTTACACTGAAGTGTACTTTGTTTTCGGAATTACAATGGTAAATATTTTATCGTGCATTTCTTATCTATTTTAAGGAAGGCAGTATATTTTTCACGTACAGTGAAGTCAAACTGGAAGAAGATTTAAAATGCAAAACTTAAGGAAAGTAGCCCAGTGAGCTAGCATTCAATTACAGTGGCAAGCACACAGAGGGAAATTTTAACAATGAAGTCTTACACTTTGAATGTAAAAAAGAATTAAAAAGAAAATTCCAGAATTCTGTTATTCAATTTGCAATGTATCATCGAACCCAGTCACATAATTTAGAACATATTTTAATACGCTTTGTAACTTATCACACACTTTTGTACTTGACGTCCTGCTTGTTTGCACTAGTAGATCTAATGCTCCAAAAATAATATTCATCACATATTAAACTAACAAAGGAAGGAGACTAAATATGTGATAGTGTTCATTGCTTATATATCTTCATAGGATGAAGCCTGTGATACTGCTTAACCTTCAATTACTGTATTCTGCCTACCAACTTAAAAATTAAGATGTTTCTAGAACTTAAAGTGCACTTCAAATACAGTTATATTTGTGATACTTTAGCTGATAGACATTGGAATCCTTTCTTTAGGCTGTTAGCACTATTATTTTATCCTATTCTTAGGAGCATTGAGAAGCATTTTATAGTACTGAGAAATAAAACACACTCAAGAAGATTACCAGCCCATCACTGTCCCAGTAGAGGGAGACGGTCTTAATTGAAAGTGACCATGGCTGTCTTCACCTTCTAAAGTTTTCAAAGACTAAAACTTGCTAAGAAGTCTTTCCTGCTCTCATTTTAGAATAGAATTTAGTTGAGTGTAGGATACAGAATCCCATTCAGAAAGAATGGGATTCTTGTATACCCAGCTGGGTGCAATTCCTCTTTTGTTCAGAGCTCAGAATAATCAGACATGGCATTTTCATGATACCAAAATGAGAGATCTGCAAATATTTACACATTAACATGACTCTTATCTTTATAATTTTTCCCTGTAAATTTCCCTGTGAAATTATTTTCCCTTGTAAATTTCTCTCACTGGCACACTCCTTCCTCAGACCAATTTTAACAGTAAGTAACTATATATTTATTCTCACAATTTCAAAGTCCTAAAATCTGATCATTTCCCATTCACAAAAGCTGATCTTTACAGGGTAAGATTTGTTGCCTTTCATCTACTAATACACCTAATACACTTAGTGAGCATAGAACACTCATTAATATAGTTTCAGATTACATTCAGTTAAGCTTTTTTAACATCACTAAAACTTTAGCTCTACACAGCCTTTGTGCACTCACTAGAGAATTATCTTGCACTGTGGGAGAGGTGGAGGAAGGTTTGCAAAGCTATGGAGGAAATGCTTCATTTGGCAGCCTTCGTCTTGCTCTCAAATGAGCTTCAGTTGCAGAATTTACATACCTGACCCAATTTCTTTTTTAACTGCTTTCTCCTCAAGTCAAAATCTGTATTTCTGAAGTTTCCCTTTTCATCATTGAAAGGGGAACCTTACAGACGTTGCTGGTAGTTGGGGGAGTCAGCAGAAAGGCTGAGTTAGCTGCCCACTTCCCTCTTTCCTGCCAAAGTTATTTTTTATTCCTGTCTATAAACTGTCAACAAACTGTATGGTCTGACTAAACAAAACCAAGGTAATTTCCGCTTGATTTCTAGCAAACACGAAATTCCAAGAGAAACCTAGGTCTTCAAAACAAAGGAAAAAACCCCACTACACAAAACACTTCTAGAACAGTATAGCAGAGCTTGGAGGGAGACCAGAGCTGGCATGGAGGTTTTGTGCAGACAGGCTGGACTGGAGCTAGCTGCGGGTGCTACAAATGAGGATGCTTGTGAGGATGCACAGCCAGCAGGGCACTGCTACTCCAGCAGCCAGGACACCAGCCTCTGGCCACTGGCACAGCACAACCTCTGCAGCTTCACTGAACCACTGCTCTGGCACCACCGTGTGCTGCTGGTGGAAGGAGCAACCCCACTCCCATCCCTGGCACCCACACATTGGGCCGGGAGGACAGATCCAACCAGACGGCCTCTGGGAAGCTCTCCAGCCAGTGGGGCCCAAAGATGGATTTGTTGTGAAGTCCTCACATATCTAGAATGCTTCAAAGCACACACATCCTGTAGTTACTACAGTTACCATGCTTCCATTCAGATTCAGTTATGCAGAATATTCATTCTGATGAGGAAGTGATTTTCAAAGCAGTAAGCAGCTTGTATAAAAACAAACATGTATAAACACAAACATGGATAAACACAAAGACAGACTTAGTGGACTGCAGAGATCTGCCAGGCACAGAAGTCATTTACTCAGCTTTCCAGGACACCAAGCAGCACAATCTTGAAAGCAGATATGCCTGTAAATCAGTCCAAGAACTCATATTTGTTCTGTTAGGTAGTATTGAGTCTTGAGTCGTAGTGAAAATGAGAACTGGTCATAAGCCGCATAGCTGGCTTACCATAAATCTTTATGGGACCCTTAATTCTGAAATCATATGCAGCAGGGTTTCATGTGGGCTTCATGTGTCAGTTGTCCGCAACACTCTGTAGGAGTAGATGCTTCTCCTTCAGAGGTGCTCAAGAAAACAATAAAAAGGGAAAATATATTCTCTTTTTACAGAAAAAAAAAAAAAACTCAATGCATTTATAGTCCTTTTTCAACTTGGAAGACAGCTTTAAATGAAATTCCACAAGTGACTAGTACTGCTACATATACCACTACATGGAAATTAAATAAGAGAGTAGCAGTAGACAACTGTTTTTTCAGAGCTAAAAAAATATAGAAATAAATTAAAACCTCCAGGTTATTTGAAGATATTATATTCAATTGTTATGTATCTAACACTCAAAAATATTTCTGTTTCAAAAAATTAGTAACACTCACATGAACATACACTCTGTGTAGACTCTGTTTCAAAAAATTAGTAACACTCACATGAACATACACTCTGTGTAGACTGTAAATTGAAAAAACAGTTTTACTAGCCTTTCTAGTACTCTCTTATACTACTGTATCACGTAAACCTTCTGCAGAACAGTTCAAAACCTAATTACTTTTTCCAATCCTTTCCGTCCTTAGAGACCCCATAGATAGAGCTAACAGTAAGGAATTTCAACTAAGAGTAAAGATGTTATGGCAAAGTCATTCAGTCACCAGTTCCTACCTCATGAAGCCCATGACTCTTAGTATGGACAAAAATATAGGTTTTGCCTTTAGGCTACTAACACTGAAAGAACAAATCACAAAACAAAAAATAATGAAATCTTTAAGCTAATGTTGGGCAATTTAACATGCAGTAGAACTGCCCAGTGTTCCTCAAGGTAATTTGTACACTTTGTCTACTTCAAGATAAAACACACACTTGTTCTTTTTACATTATTCTAAAGTAGGACCTATAACCATCAGGAAGAGCACTCCTCATGCCCAGATAAAAATTTTTGTTCATTGCTGCCTTGTGACAATGCTGTATTTCATAATGGGACACACCGGCAGGAAAGGTAGTCTGTAAAACCAGAAGGAAGGCGGAAGGAAGAAGCTGTCAAATTTTTTGAGTACTGGGATCCCTCTTCAAGCACAACATAGAAAATATTCTGAGATTTTTTTTTAAAGCCCTATGGAGAAGCCAGCATTTTAAAGCCATACCTACAGTTAAAACTCACCAGTGAGCTAAAGAATCATCAGTGAACTTGCTGATATATTTTATCACAGATTTCCAAGATGAAGTTTCTGTTTGTTTTGTTAACTTCCTTTAACAGCACCACAATTATCCTATGAATAACAATGCTGCACATTGCAAAAAGTGGTGTCTCTGGAGCTATGAAGTTTACCTAACACTGAAAGTTACTCCACTTGTACTACTGGGTAGGATACATTTTTGTGGCACCACATTTTTTCGCCTTTTATAAGACAGAATTCTATGTTGATAGTTAGGTGTTTTCTGTTTCAGGAGATTATGAACCAGAGTAAAGGGGGAACTTTTAAATTATGTTGAAATCCAAAGAAAAACTGAGAGGGATTATTTACAAAATGAAATTAACTATTTTAATAAGACTAGCAGTGGGTTTTCTAATGTGGAAACAAAACTGGAAAACAGGATTTTGCTCAGTAAACGTAGTATTTTCAGCAAATAGACTGTAAATCTTTAGCTTGTATGTTTGCCTTGTATTTGGTTTATGTTAGAAAAAAAAAAGGCAGTCGGCA